CCACCGGATCCCAGCCCATGATTCCCCACTGGCGATTGCAGGGTATCACTGACGAGGGAGAGGTCTGTATGTAAACAATACAGATCTTTCCTGTCAGTTACAGCACACTGCTCTGTATTGCTCTGCATAGCAGAGGAAAACAACGCAATGTGCTTACACTGTAAAACACACACAGCACACAGTTAACCCTTTGATCACCCTAGATGTTACCCCTTCCTGTCCAGTATCAATAGTACAGTGTCAGTGCTTTTTATTAGCACTGATCACTGTATTAGTGTCAATGGGGATGTCAGTGACAGTCTCCACTCTCCACCCCTCCCCTGAGTGTCAGAATGCCCGCCACAGTCCCACTATAAGTCGCTGAATTGCCGCCATTACTAGTATAAAAAAAAATTCCAGTATATATACACCGTCATTCGTAGACGCTATAACTTTCAGGTAAACCAATTAATTTACATGTATTGGGATTTGTTTTAGCAAACACATGTAGCCGACTACATTTTGGCTTAAATTTATGACAAAATTTGATTTAAAATTTCTTACTGGACATGTTTAATAGCAAAACGTAAAAAATATTGTTTTTTTTTTTCTCAAAATCGTTTATAGTGCAAAAAATAAGCGCAGAAGCAACCAAATACCACTGAGAGAAAGCTCCATTTGTGGGGAAAAAGATGTAAATTTCATTTGGGTGCATTGTTGCATGACCATGCAATTGTCAGTTAAAGTAACGCAGCATTCTATCGCAAAACATGGTGTGGTCGGGAAGGGGGGGGGGGTAAATCCTCTGGAGCAAGTGATTTTGTCTGAGCTGAAGTGACCTTACAAGAATGAAACAATGTGCCAGTGGACAATTATGTGTGTCAACACAGGATAATACCATTCACCATAGAATACGAAACATAGAATTCTGACCCAAAAAAGAAGAAAAACTAACTACCTGCCATCTCCAGGGTTAGATCCAGTCATCTTAGCATTATTCGCTGTTTATCAACACCAACATAATTTGAATGGCAGACAAATTTAGCCTATTAGCCAGCAACAGTCTGTGGGGGGGGGTGGTGAGAAAACAGAAAAAAAAAAAAACAAAAAAACTTGCTGCTATGAGGGAGGTGACAGAGGTGAACAGACCTGTTCAGGTACAGACCACAAATGTCACTACATACCTAAAGATCCATGAGACATGCTATTCTATGAGGTGCACTGCAGAGCCATAGGTTTTAATGTGCGGCACTTTACAAAACCCATTGTCCTGCACAAGGGCATTTCAAGAAAATCAGCTAGGATTATTGACAACACAGGTAAAAAAAAAATCCTCGTTTTTCTGGTGACAGGTTTATATATGAGGTGTGTTCATGTCAAACCGGGACTTTTCAGTTTACATAGTAAAAGGAGTAGAAACTGCATTTCGTCTCTTGTGCAATTTCAAGACAGATTACGCATTGCTTATCTAGGATCAGGCATTCCACGAGCTGAATGTTCACAGGAATGACCACTGTGCGCTGGGAGCCACCACGGTTGGGATCGTCACTAACGGACATATGTCCATCTATGAAACATTTACACCATTCAACTGTCTTATTGTGGCTGAAAGTCTCATCACCGTACTGTGCTTAGTCTTCTGTAGATATTTGCGGATTTTAGAAGCTTCATCACCACATGCTGTTCCATGCATTTCCTAACACTGTTGGCTACCATCTTGATCAACAGTCTCTGGAATGGCCCGCAACATGTGTGCTGCCTATGAGTAATAGGATACCACTTGCCACTGCGTGTGGTACCACCACTCTAGCATCCCTTCATACCTGTAAAATCAAAAGTCCCGGTGTGATTTGAACGCCCCCTCATGCGCACGCACACACGCACGCACGCACACACACACACGTTCAGCTTTAACAATCTTTTCAAAGAATATCAAAGCCAAACTCCCATCATCAACTCCCATCACCCGTCTTTGAAACAGGCTTCAAAGTAATTTTATGTTAGCTTTTTTCTAAAATATTAGTGCAGCACTAAAAATACTTGTCACAACTTCATAAACGCATGTGAATTAAACGTATACGTGAATAGAGGGCTGAAAGTGCAATATCAATATAAATGATTCAAAATGATATAAAAAGAAGAACAACGGTGCAAGAAGAACAACGGTGCAAAAAGAAGAACAAAGGTGCAAGAACTTGTGAAAGGAAATCCACTCTTGGGACGGATGTACACTCACCAGACCATAAATAATAATGCGCATGGGTTATAATACATTGCACATCTGGGGGTGCAGCGGTATGCTGACAGCTACAGGGTCATCCATCCGTCAGGGTGGGTGCCTGGTGGTCCTGGGGGGGAATCAGCTCAGCCACAGGAGCCAAAAAGGTGCTTATAGTGTAGTATTGTATTATAGTAATGATAGCAATTAACATAAAAGTAGTATCCACATGGAGTAACAAAATTCAATAAATAAAGTACCAAGATGGCCGCCGCTCCTCCTCTGCAGCGGCGGGTAGCCGTCAGCATTAGAGCACCACCCAACACATTTCGTGTAATAACACGCAGTCATGTGACAACCACGGCCATCTTGCCGGAGTCCGGGCCGGGTTAGATAGAGGCCATTTTGTTGGAGGTGCTAGTGTATGGTTATGAGAGTACACGAGAGCTGGGACAAAGTTGTTTGTATTTATACGGAGCAGAATAAATGTTCAGAAAACGGGGGGAAAACAGAAGTATAGACTTAAAAAGCAAATAGTGACTAGTAAAAATGTGATAAAAGACTAGGATATTATCCTAGTCGGGGGTTTTAGATGTGTATGATAACGATGTCATGTTTGACCTAGTGATGATATAAATATAAGGACACATGATGAATAAATACAATATAAGGACCATATACTAGGCTTGTAGCTTATAAAACTTCATAATGTATATGAAAAGGTAAACTATAAAAAAATATATACCAGATGCACAGAATAAATATGTGGAATCCACATAAAAACGCATAAAATAGGGAAGAACGAAGTTTGCATAAAATGGATATATATGACCGTATGAGATAAAATTCCTGATAAAAAAAAGGTATCAAAATACTGTAAATATATAAAGTGCATAAAAAAATAATATAAATAGTAGAATATGTTTAATCCCAAATAATCGTTAATAACATTGATGAGATCAATATAAAATTGCTAAAAACAATAACAATAGTAATATTGGTTTTGGATTCATGCCTTGCGAGATATATAAGAAGACAATTCGGTCTATATAAAATTACATATGTATAAAAGGAAATGAACCCAGAATAAAATTACATAAAATAGAATATATCTATATTGGGATCATAATATGTATATTCAACAATCATTATGTTCATCCACTAATGAGTTGACGACTAACAGGATACATGATATTATTAAGAAAAAATTACGGTCATACAGTCACATTCAATGGTACGGATATGATGAATAATATGTTCATATTCAACTTTTATCAATAAAACAGTTTATATCAATTTCAACATGGTGGCCTAAAGGTGCAAGTGACTTCATCTCATATATCCACTTTGTTTCTAATTGGGATATTTTCCTGCGTTTGTTACACCCTCTCCAATGTGGGCTAAGAATGTCAATACCCACAAATTTCAGATTATGTGGATCTCTGTGGTGCACGTCTCTATGTTTGGACAACGAATGTTCTTTGTACCCCATCTTAATATTGTACACATGTTCTCTCAATCTATAGCTCATTTTCCTTGTGGTTCTTCCGATATATTGTTTATTACAGGAGCACTCGAGGAGATATACCACATATTTACTATTGCACGTGATAAACGTGTCAATTTGGTAACTCTGAATAGTAACATTCAAAGTAAAGGACGTGACTTTCGGCAGTTTGTTCCAGCTTAAAACACAGATAGGACACTTGTTACATGGGTAAAATCCCTTAAGGTTCCCACACCGTTTAATCTGATTAGGTGGGCTGATAATATTTCGGGCTATTTTGTCTTTGACTGTGGGTGCTCTTCTAAAAACTATTTCTGGTTTTGATGGTAAAATGCGCTTTATAACTGGGTCATTGGTTAAAATGTTCCAGTGTTTGTTAAAAATATGTGTGACTTGATAGTGCTGGATGGAATAATTGGTTATAAATGGACACACCATCTGAGTTTTAGTTTTATTGGTGTTATAAGTAATCAAGACGTTTCTATCCAACTCTGCCATCGACTGGATATTTTCATTTAAAGAATCATTAGAGTATCCTTTTTCCAGAAATCTATCCTTTAGAACATTAGATTGAAGATAAAAATCGTACATGTCACAATTTCTACAAGTTCTCGTGAATTGTCCTTTGATAATATTATTCAGCCAGGATGGATGGTGGCAACTGTCTGCCGCAATGAAACTATTCCTGTCTGTTTTCTTAAAAAACGTCTTGGTAATGATCTTCATTCTATCGTTAATCAATATCAGATACAGAAAGTCAATTTCATTTTGGCTGTACGTATGGGTGAGTTTGATATTAAGAGAATTATAGTTCTCTTAATAGATGATATCCTCCTCCCACTGAACCATAAATAGATTGGCTAGACTATGGGCAAGTTTGGCTTCAATAGCCACCCTTCTAATTTGCAAATAGTGTTGCTGGCCAAACCAGAAATAATTGTGCGTTATCGCAAAGTCCAGTAAGTTTGAAATAAACGGTTTGTGAACATTATTATAGTCAGAAACATTGTGTAAAAAATAGTTAACAGCCTCCTTTCCATCATTATGGTTAATGTTGGTATATAAGGATTCAACATCCGCGGTGACCAGGTAGGTGTTAGAAGTCATGTTAATGCTTTTTATTTCAATGTTTTTTTATTAATTTGTAACAGTGTAGCCTCCCTGGCGGTATTTCCGAATGTAGCTCGGGGCAAAGTTTCAGTACCACAAGCGGTAACCCCGAGCTACATTCGGGCTTACCATGCGGCGCTGCTCCAGGATCTCTTCTTCTCTTACCTTGCCCTTCGCTCCCGCGATGTCCCTCCTGCAGTGTCCCCTGTAATGTCCTCCCGTGATGTCTTCTGGGTTCTGTCCCCTGTGACGTCGGGACGTACGGGGGACGGAACGGCGGGAAATTTGAAAATGACAAAAAGTGACATTCACTAAAAATACCATAGTAAAACATTACTGTATCAAAGCATTTCACATACATTTTGTCCCTAGTGCTTTGTCCTGTGCCCTGCCTGCATTTTTACTGTTCTTTCTGCCTGGAAACTGAGAAACATCCATGGCGTCCAAAAAGCGTCCCTTTAGGTCAAAATCGGTTTTAGATCAGCTAGAGAACAGCGATAGTAAATTAGAACTACTTGCAGAATTAAGTGATGATTCATGGTGAAATTCGTCATCAGACACTGAAAACGATTTTGCGACTTTGCTCAGTGATGTGCGAACTTGGCGCTATATTTCAAATTTTATTGTTTTTGGTTTGATTAAATTATTGAATTAAATTAATATTATTTTTATGATTATTTATTAAATTATAATTTATGATTTCGTGTTTCAAATTGTAACATACCCGGGATGTTTACTAGACTCTTGTTCGGACAGATTTCAGTGAGTTATTCCTAAAAATTACAGACCTACAATAAAAAAAAATACATATTTCCATGCAAAAAATTGTACCGCTTTGAGCACAGAAATATGGACATAATCAGACCGCTAGGGAGGTTAACACAGGAGCAACAAATCACGCCCATGCAGGGGCTATCAATTGCACATAAAAAAATTAGAAAATTAAAAAAATCAGTGCTCTAACACCAACAGAGCAAAAGCTGCGCCCACGCAGGGGCTATCAATGGCACTTAAACAAAACATTAGTATAACACTGATAGTAACAAACTAAAAGCAGCTATATACTACCACACCAAAACAAAAAAAAAGAAAAAAAAAAAAAAAAAAAGAAAGAAAGGAGGAGTACAAAAGAAAAAAAGATAAAACCAAGAGCAGGGATCCAAGAACGCCAAAGCCGAACAACATCACATCCCAGACTAGCTGTGGGAAGCGTGGGAAAGGCATATTGCAACCACGGCTCCCATATTTTCAAGAATTTATGTTGGGAGTCGTTGCAAATACTCAACATCTGTTCATTGAGCATCATAGTGGTCATACGGTCCCGCACCCCCTGAAGAGGGACAAACAGGCTCTTCCAGGCCTGAGCAATTGTTCTAGTGGCTGACAAAACAAATAGGAAGCCAAATTCTGCTGATGAGCCAAGAGGCCCGGTATGGGACAATGAAGCAAAGCATACCGAGCATCCGGTCGTATAGAGAGATGGAACAACATGAAAAGGAGGCCAAACCCACAAGACCAAAAATGAAGCAATCTCAGGCATGACCACCACATATGCAATACATCACCACGATGGCCACAACCCCGAAAGCATCGATCACTGCAGGCAGGGTCCGCTTGGGCCAAACGAGCCGGAACCCAATACCAACAAAACAATACTTTGTATGCCGCCTCCAGCGTGGTTGTATTAAATGAACATTTAGCTATAAGCGACCAGGCCCTATTCCAGCCCTCCAGATCCACGACTGCCCAGCGGTTCGCGCTTCCACTGAACAACATTATGAAAGAGAAGTATGCGTCGTGCGCCTGTTCAAAGCTGCATAAAGAAGGGAAATAAGGCCCTGGGCACCCGGACGCTGTTGGCAAAGCAGTTCAAAGGCAGATTTCTGGTACGGGAAAGCAGAAGTGTCCCCGCAATGAGAGCAGCCAATGCCGCAATTGAAGGTAACAAAAACATCCCGTGACTGACGAAGAAAATTCCAGGTAGGGAAGGACCAAGAAAAACTATTGGCCACCCACCAAGAGAACGCCCTTGGTTGATCTAAACCCGGTGGGAAGAAAGGGTTGTTAGTAATTGGAAGCAAAAAAGAAAGGTGACATCAGGCCACTGGAGTAACGTACCGAGTCCCACACTTGTAAGCCATGGAGCAAAATCGGACTCAGTGCCGTAGGGCGCAGGGCAGTGGGAAGCCATAGAAGAGTCGATGTCGCAATAGTGGCACAATTAGGTAGTTCCAGCCTGAATCAACCAAAGAAAATGAGGAGGAACCCGCACTGGGAGGGTGCGAAAATAGTATAACAATTTCAGCAAGATGGTTATTTTCACTGAATTAACCCGTCCTATCCAAGACAGGTGTGGAAATTGCCAAGAATGCATACGGAGAGAGGACACAGAGCGAAGCAATGGATAATAATTTGCAGCAAACAGCGAGCCATAGGTGGGGGTCAAGCGAATGCCTAGGTATTCAAGAGAAGAAGCCCATTTGTAAAGGGAAGTGGGACTGTAGGCGCGAAACCAAATCTGAGGCCAAAGTAATATTAAGTGCGACAGTCTTATCCAAATTAATACGGAGACCCAAAATCAAAGAGAAGCGCTCAAGAACCTGTTGCAAATTTGGAAGCGTCGTCAGGGGATTAGTGAGAGTCAAGAGGGCATCGTCCACAAAAAAGTTCAAGTTGAACTCCTGTCCCGCGTATGGAACCCCCGATACAATACAATCGGTCCGGAGCGCCAAAGCCAGCAGCTCAAGTGCCAGGACAAAGAGCACCGGGGACAGGGGGCATCCCTGTCTCGTACCTCGCCAAATAGGAAAGGGATCTGAGAAATACTCAGCGTACTTAACGGAAGCCGAAGGGGAAGAATACGAGGCTTGAATCCAAGAAAGAATAGAATCCCCAAAACCCCAACGAGACAGCACAAACCGCAGATATTCCCAAGATAGAGAATCAAAGGCTTTATATATGTCTACTGACAGTAAGAATCCTGGGATTTTCCGCTGTTGTAGAAAATGCATAAGATGGACCACCTTATGAACGTTATCACCCGCCTGCCTCCCGGGCACGAAACCTACTTGGTCCCTGTGGATCAGACTACGCAAATATTTATTGATACGAAAACTAAGAATCTTGCCCAATATCTTCAGGTCTTCATTAAGAAGAGAATGGGCCGGAAGGCTTGCGGTTCCTGCACATCATTGGTCGTTTTAGGAATCATGGAGATAACTGTCGTAACTCATTAAAATAGTCAGCCAGGAATGGCGCTAACAGGGTTGCAAATTTCTTATAATAGAGACCGGAGAAGCCGCCAGGACCTGGGGCTGCAGTGGACCGCAGAGATTTGATAGCTTGGAGCACTTCCGATACGGTGACTCCGGCGTTGAGGGCCATCTGCGCTGCCCCAGATAATCCAGGAAGTTGGAGATCTTGGAAGAATGCCTCTGCCTGAGCCACAGGGAAGAGATCTGGTTTAGCATAAAGGCGCGAAAGGAAGTCTGCGAAACGGGAGACAATCTGCTGGGGATTAGAAGTACAGCCACCTGCGGAAAGTCGCAAGCGGATCGATTTGTGGGGTTTCCCCACAGAATTGAGTTTCCTGGCCAGCATTGGACCCGGCTTATTAGCACAGGAATAAAATTTGTGTTTGGTCCAACATAGGGCCCGAAGAGGGGGAGTAGGTCCAACTCTGCTGCCAGAGCGTCCTGTGCGCGTTTATGGGCCATGGATGGGAATGGCTTCCAACGAGTATCCGCAGAGGCCAGTAGAGAATGAAGCTCCAAAAGTTGGCGCCCCTGCTCCCACTTCCGAACCGCCACCAGCTATATAACATGACCCCACACCGTGGCTTTATGCGCCTCCCACAGGGGCACTGCCAAAGAGACAGATCCCGAGTTTTCGTGAAGTATGTGTGTAAGAAAGATTCTATTTGTTGGCAGGTAACTTGAGTGTTCAATAAAGAATCATTAATGCGACAGTGAAATGGGCGCCGTAACGACCCAGAGAGGACCAGGAGTACCACCAGGGGATCATGGTCCAACCAGGGCGAGGAGGGAATAGCTATCCGCCTGACCAAGGGTCATGAGGGTTGGAATAGAATGTAAAGTTGTGCTCAGTTGGGTGAAGTTCCCTCCATACGTCCGCCACCCGCAAGAGAGCGCATACGTTCCTCTAGCACTAAGTCGTGAGAAGAGGCCACCCCCCTGGCATAGCGCCTATCCAAGAAGAAGACCCTTGGAGTGTCGGGAAACAATGGTGCAAAGATGAGAAAAGAATTTATGCTGAAAGCGATTGACAAAAGTAACCTCCTGGTCCCAGAGGGTACTCTGCAGAAGCAAATACCTGCCCGTGGGATCCGCTATATTCCGAGCACAGACAAAAAAGGAAGATTGCGTTTGAAAGCTATCAGTACACCCAGGCATTTCTCTGGAACCGAGGCTGTGTAAAAGGTGGGATAATGAGGCGAAAGATACCGTGGAGCGGAGGACTGAGAAAACCTGATCTCCTGTAAACATACCACTTCGATTTGTTGCGATTTGAGGTGATGAAAAACTTTACCCACTTCTGAGTCGATTTGAAGCCTTGAACATTTTGTGAGTGTTCTTTCAGAAAGGGTGAGGCCATGGCGGTATCAGCACAGCATGCTCAGCAGAAAAAGCATAGGTCAGCCAACAATTTCCACTCCCAATGGCGTTCTGACCATGGCGTCCCAAAACCCTGCATTAAAAAAAAAAAAAAAAAAATACACCAGAGAAAAAGAAAACAAAACAAAAAAAAAAGAAAAAATGACACAAAAAGTATATACAAACAGTACAAACGTGTCACGCCAATGGTGACATGCATCCTCCTACACTTGAAGGATACCAGTTGGGGGTGGCTCTACCACTGGACACATGGCTGCAAATGAAAACATAAAAAAACAGGAGTCCTCGGGGCAAAAAGGCAATAAACACAATATAAACGGGGTACCAAAGTAATAAAATATGAGTCCCAGAAGTGAGAACATCCGCGGTAACCTCCCCATAGAAACCCAGCTAAACCTGGGGGCCAACCACCTCCAGGAGGATGGCTACAGGCCGCCGTGGTACCCCACAACACAGCCCAAGTGGTCCCCCATCCACCTCCCAGTAGGACCGACACCCAACCCGGGCCCACCAGGCTAACCTCCCACCTCAGAGCCCGAGGGAACCATCACCCCATTCCACCAACGGGAACCTGAACAACGTCAACCGGACCCGTGGTAGGCCAAAACAGCAAAAAGTCATAATCTGCAAGACCAGGTGGAGACCCCCCCCTCCCCACTCAGGGATGGAACCCAAGGGAACAGGCCAAATCAGGCCCAACCTGGAACGCTAACTGGAAAAGCCCTAAGGGCCAAACTCACGGTCCCGTCAGGAAAGTCCAATGATGAAACACAACAAAGGAGATCCAAGATACATCTTCATCCCAATAAAGAGCAGGACGGACTTGATCGTAGAGGGGTCTGAGGGAGAGCCCTCTGTTGGACGACAGCTCCCAGGGGTGGCCCAGAGGAAGC